ATTGGTACATAACAGCTTTCTTGTATGCAAAGAAAATAATTAAAAATGTTAAAAAAGAGATGTCAACACAAAATTACATAGCCCCTTCAATTCAGAAGATACTACAAACGAACTGTACCTTAACATTTTCATATCCCAGAAGCTAACGTTCCCATGACGAATATTGCTATCGCTAGCGATTGCAAAATCCAACTTGTTTTTTTTTTACTTTTGATAAAAATGCAAATAGGCTCCTGCAAGGGCTAAACATACCTTCTTACACGTCATGACTGTTGCATCACTCATAAATGAAGGGGCCTACGTTCGATGTACAGTGAAGTATAATTTCTCATTTCAATATATTCAATATTTCAATATTTTCATAAACATCTGTTGGCTATGACTATATAACACCCGGGGTCGGTTTTAGTATAACATTTTAAGCAGTCAAGAGATGGTTTCATACATTTTCGGAGTAAAGGGAAACAAAATAATATACTTTGGGATGCCAGAAAAAGAATGATATATAAGTTATGGAAATAGTGAGAAAAATAGGAAAATTTAAAAATTTCATTTTAGAGTATTCTAGAATCCAAGAGTATCTACCTTTTTCAAATTTTTAGAACCAAATTCTTGTCACAAAAATAGCCATTCCACTGAAATTCAAGAATTAAAAGTTAACTTAAAAACCATGCCCACTGAGTTTTTTAAAACTTTCCTTTAAGCGTCACTGAAGAGGCCTCCTTTCTTTATCAGGTTGGGGGGGGGGTGCCGGTTAGATATGAGTCAAAAATTATGCAAGAATTCTAGAACTGATGTAACAGGCCAGACGGCTAAAATCAAAGCCGCCGGTCAAGTTCCGTCCGCTCTCCGCTCACCAGAGCAGCGCCTGGTGGAGGGGGAGTGGACGACGCCTGATTGGTAGCCCCTATTCAGTAAGCCGAAGACCGTCCCCTGAAAACAAAACAATGTAAGTTTTCCCAGTTTTCACCCCTTTTGGGGTGGATGTTTAAAACAGTAATCTTACCATGATGTGACGGAGTGTGCGGGGGTGGCCGGCGGGCCACCTCGACCCCCTAAATCAGTGGCTTCTCTTTTTTCTTACCCTTGAGTCCTTTTACCGTCCTCTCCGATCGAGCCTTATAGGAAGCTCGATCCGGCAGTGGCGTGGCGTAAATTTCGATGTATCGATTGTTCTACCATTTAAACCTATGGTAAAGAATCGATTATAAAGGTGTTCGCTGCGAACACCCTGTTTATCGATACTTTTCCATAGGTTTAAATGGCCGATCAATCGATATATCGCAAAGCACGCCACGCCACTGGAAGCTCGATCCGGATGGGCCTCGGAGGCCCGATCGGACAGCGATTCGTATTGTTCTCTTGTGGTTTGTTGTTCTGGATCCTCGATCCCTTACACTGATAACTAGTTACTGATTTATAATTAATCTAAAAATGTATTTATTCTAACTTCTAAACGTTAACAATATATTAATTTTTTTATTTCTTAATAAATTTCGAGATTCAAGCGCGGTATGCATATATCGTGCTTCATGGTCTGATTGCCTAACTTCGCGGCTGATGCATGATGAATGCTCCATTGCATCTTGGGTTAATTTTAAGGCCTCTCCGTGGCGGGGATGTAGTTGTATTTTCTCTTTAGAATGAATTTTCCATCGCGCTATCAATTTTGGAGATGCAACACGGGCATTCATCGAGTACGAATAGTTGTATCTCTGCGCCGTCGTTGACGCGCGTAGTTTCCCATGCTTTATTTCCATATTGCGTTAGTTCTGTTTGTCTTACTTGTAACGGGTCTTCAAGGGCTACGTGCGCAACAAAGCGAAAAATAAGAGAGATGTAATCGGGACTCGTTTTTAACTTTTCTCAAGAACCTGAGCGACAACTCACTAGCAGCAATAAGGAGCGGAACACTTAGGAGCCTCGCGCCATCGCGCCTTCAATCTATCTGATACCACACGAACATCCATCAAGCACGAATAGTTGTATCTCTGCGCCGTCGTTGACGCTCGACGTTTCTCTTGCTTTCTTGTGTAAGTTGTGTTCGGGAGCGTTCGGAGCGGAGCACTCCGAGTTCACGCCTCGTGCCATCGCGCCTTCAATTTTGCAGATGCAACACGGACATCCATCAAGCACGATTAGTTGTACCTCTGCGCCGTCGTCAACGCGCGGTCGTTTCTCTTGCTTTATATCCATATTGTGTTAGGCCCAGAATTGTTATTAAACAGGGTTTACTCATCAAATCCCCGAATTTAAGAACCAAGAGAAAATAATTTGTTTTCCTTTCAGAACCACATAATTCATAGCTTCCCTCTATTAAAAATTTTAAGTTGTCACTCATCGATTAAACTTCCTTTTCCTCCCATAAATCGTCGATTAAAGTAGGAGCACCTCGTGTTGGACTTTCCTGCTTGTTTAAACTTCCTTTATATTTTTAATTTACCCTGATTAACAAGAATCCAAAACCCCATTAATTACCCCTGCCATTAATCACTGATACGAGTTCTTTTTTATATTTTTTCAGATCTACCCTCTGCAATTTATTTTATTTTATCATGGCCAAACACACGACTATCTCAGTGTCAATAGGGTCCACTGAAAGTTACCTTACAGCTACGATAATTTTTCTGACTCTATTGAGACCAAGCGTGGCTAAAATTTCCAACAGGAAAGCGAGTGATATTAATACTTCCTTAGTAAAGTTTGGAATCATTCCAGATTTATTGAAAAAACCTCCTCCGCATGTTATCAAGGTTCGTTGATAATTCCGTCAAAAATGACTTAAGAAAAATCTTGTTTAAAAGGTCTAACCGTTCCTGCTTGCTGCGACATAACTACGTAAGTATTTTAAGTGGTACCCAAATTATTTTGACAAATGGCCAATATTAGAAACCATACAATTTGAAATAGATCGAAAGAATTTGAGGTATTTTCTGAACTTCTGTATTAGTGAGGTAAAATTTTTAAATACATATTTATACTAATCGTCTGATTGTCTCCAATGCTTTATTCCGTTACTAAAGATACCCGATGCATGAATTTACCTAGGTCTGCATATTAATGAATAACGCAGGAACATGACGTAAGTCTATTGAAAAATTCCCACGCCAGAGAAAAACAAGTTACAGAATTTCGGCGAGACTTTTGACCACTAAAACAAATATTTCATAAGGCCTTTTTTAAACGTTTTAATTGAGAGTGCCGCTGCGCCCTGAGGACAAAACCGCTAAATCGCCACATGATGGAATTTTGGATAATTGTACTGTGCCCCCTCATATCCTGGTGAGACTCTCATGTAGACTTTAACGAAATACGTTGCACTATCGCTATTATCTTCCTTTAACAGTCTATATGTGAAACAGTGAGAAAATATATATACCTCCGTTTTAAAAGTATTTTTGTTTGTTACAGGCAACATATTCATTCGGTCACTCTCCTAATTTCGGAAATAAAATCGAAGCTCAATTTTTGAAAAGCAATCCATATGCCATCCTTTGGCCTTTTGAAGGAAGCCAATTTTACACACTTCTGCTAGTAGGTAATATTGCCCTCAAACATTTGTTCGTAATTAAATAAGAGAGGAAGTCATGCAAAATGTTTGTGAAATTCTGCTTCTATGAAAAATACGGTGAGAAAGACTTTTAAAAGTTCTTTTCTCATACCCCTTCGTCTCCTCTCATTTCTTCTGTTGCCTCAAAACTCAATAGGTGCCCATTTTTTTATCAGCCAGCTGCCGCAGATTCTAATTGCATTTCATTTTGCATTAAAAAACCACGATTTCATCTCTAATTCAAGAAATCACCTACCTGCATAGAGCATATAGTAGCACATGCTTGTTTCTAAAATGAACCATAAATAGTGGTATAGATAAATAAACCTTATTTTGCAATGGACCACTAGACAAAGTACGAATTTCAGCATTCTGATACACGTTTCTTTACCAAAATTTCACGTAAAACACGATGCGCACAACGAATATTACCGAAATCAACTCCCTCCGAAGATATTAATGATTCTTGGTGCGTGAATTCAAAGCACGCGCTCAAGAAAACTCAATGCTCTACGTGATTCACATCGCTCGTAAACGTTATTATGAACGTCTCTGCGATGAAAAAATCTGGCAACCTCAATCTTGACACTTTGGCTCAGCTATAGCAAATTACTTATAGTTTGAAAAACACATGGTGGGAAATGAACATTGCTCGATTGAGAAGATTGCTGAAAACGTTGTAGTGCGTGATTTGACTTACGTAGAGCTTTGAGTTTCTTGTGAGCGGGCAGTTCAAATTCCTCGTAACCAATGTGAAATAAAAATGTTAATAGCTTCGTTAGGAGTTGGTTTCAGTAATTTTCGTTGCGCGAATCGTGTTCTACGTGAAATTTTGGTTAAGAAACATGTATCAGAATGCTTAAATTCGTACCTTGTCTAGTGGTCCATTACGAGCCAATCATTCTGGCTTATTTTAGAGAAGAAACATGTGCCAATAATTACTCTGTACGCAGGTAGGTGCTTTTTTGGATGAGCCAGACATTGTAGTCCTTTGTTGCAAAATGAAGTATAATTAAACAGCTAATAGATTCGTATATAAAAAAGAATACTCATTTGTCTGAACCTGTGGCTGAACGTATTATATTTGCGATCATAAAACTATGTAGGTAACTAGGATCGGACTGGCTCGCGTCTGAGGGCGTGAACCCTTGATTGGTTAAAGGGGCGTGATGTGATATTTTCTGATGGGGCATCCCCTTCGTGGAGAGGGGTTCAGAAAATTTTGGCAAAGCAGCACAAGTTTACGCTATTTTCAGGTTCAAAGTTTATTAATCGTACAGAGTAAAAATTGTAAAATTGGACGTATTGAAATGACCGACAGACTTCTGAAATTAAAGAAAACAAAAAAATTAAAGCCACTGGACGCATTCAAGCACCATTTTTTCCACAAGAACCGTGTCAGTGCTGCGGTTTCCACGAGCTTAAGACGTGGGTCTATAAATCCATCCTAAAAAAGAATCAGGCAAGAACTTGAAAAAAGAAGAAAGAACGAGTATCAATGCAGCCGAAGGTAGAAGAGACGTATTCGGGCCACTTTTTTAACTTTTCTCCCGAATCTGAGCGACACCTCATTGGCAGCATATAGCAGAGCATTGAGAACTTCGCGTCTTCGCGCCTTCAATTTTTCCGATGCAGCACGGACGTCCATCAAGTACGAATAGTTGTATCTCTGCGCCGTTGTTGACGCGCATCCTTTCCCTCGCTTTATTTCCATTTTGTATTTGCTTGCGTTTGTCTTATTCGTAATGGTGCTTCAAGCACTACGTGAATAACACAGCCGAAGGTAGAAGAGATGTGTTCGGGCCTCTTTTT